AAGACCAGGTGTCGGTCCTCAGCAGTTATAAAGCCACTCAGAGCAGAGCCAGAGCCCAGAGCTCACTGTCAGATCCACAGCTGGTCTCAGGAGCTCTGATAGATGTGGCCAAACACCTGGGCAACCTGTCCTTCAGAGTCTGGGAGAAGATGAAGGACAAGGTCCACTTCAGTCCTGTCATTCTGGACCCAAACACTGCTTCTGGATGTCTGCATCTGTCTGATGATCTGACCAGTGTGAGAAAAGGAGACACAGAGCAGCAGCTTCCTGATAATCCAGAGAGAAACACTGAGTACGCGTTTGTTTTTGGTTCTGAGGGCTTCAGCTCAGGGAAACACAGCTGGGAGGTGGAGGTTGGAGATCATCGCAGCTGGATTGTTGGTTTGGTTAAAGAGTCTGTTGACAGGAAGGGAGAGTTACGTGTTTCACCTGAATATGGAATATGGTGTTTAAAGCATAATGATGGTGAATACACTAATGGTGTTGGTCAGACTCTCAAAGTGAAGAAGAGTCTCCAGAGGATCAGAGTCCAGCTGGACTATGACAGGGGGGAGGTGTCCTTCTACGACCCTGAAGACATGTCTCATATCTACACTCACAGAGACACTTTCACTGAGAAACTTTTTCCTTTTTTCTATGTTGGAAAAGCTGCTGATGCTGAAACATCTGACATCAAAATCAGTAAATCTGAGGTTTCTTTATTATTTCAAGACAAGTTAAATTTGAAATAATACCAGTTATTTGGTAAAAAATACTTTTGATACTTTTTCACTCCAGAAAATTATTATTAAGTTGTAAAATTTATTTTAAATAGATTTTGATATAAGTATATTTACAGTATCAAACTCTAAGCAATGAGACTATCTAGTTTTTTTTTTTTCTTGAGTCCTTTATTAGTTTTTTTATTACAATTTTTAGATTAAATAATCTAGAATTTAATAAACCTTTAAGATTCAAGTTTTATTTTATTTTAATCTGTTGATTATTTCAGTTTAGTGTTAAAAATTAAAGCTTGTCACAGTATAATTTTCTACTGAATAAATTCTTAGAAAACAGAAAATCAAAGATCTAATTCTGACATACATAAAATTTTTTTTGTAGCAATATCTTCATTGTGTTCAAGAAAACATCCCATTGAGCTAATTTAGAATAATTTCATCTCATAAAAAGTTTTGTAAATTGTTTAGAACACCTTTTAGTTTCTACTTAATAAAGGAGATTGATATAAATACTTGTTCGTTATGTGATTGATCTTAGAAACTCTTTACTATAAATAACGTCTTTTAAAACTTTAAATTGATTTAAATATATGCTATAATCCAGAATATTGATCATCAAATGGATCTTTTTATGTTGGTAAAGACAGAATAAACCACAAATCAACCCTGAAGATGAAAATGACGAATCTCTGATTGTAGATGCTCCAATCAGCTGTTTAACATTAAAGTAAAACAACAGAACTGCTGATGTTCACATCTGTATCATGTCTTGGACTCTGCTGTCTGTACAGTTCTACTCTGAATGTGATTGGATGGAGACACAGATTTGATCAGTCACTGTCTGGCTGTTATTTATTCCTATTAAATGCTTCATATTCATTTCACAGCTAAACATGTCAGTGTCCCAAACTGATCAGCTTCATTTCAGCAGAGCTGTGATTTTTTTCTACCAGTCTGTCTTTTACTGAGCAGCTCTGTTGAGTCTGACAGTAAACTGGATCCAGAACAGAACTGGGTCCAGAGTCCTCATGTTCTGGTTTCTGTCGGCCTGCAGAGCTCCTGCAGCTCCTCCATGATGGAGGATAATAAAGCTGAAAGTGCAGGAAGTTCTATCTGTACAGAGAGTCAATGTCCAGCTCTGATTGTGATCATCAACATGCTATCATCCTGTTAAACATCAACTCTACATTTAATACTGAGATCATTCAGTGAATCCAAAGTGTTCTTAGAATTTAGAGAGTAAAGTTAGTCCATCTGATGAACTGGGCTGGAGGCTTCCAGAGTTTGGTTTTAAAAGGTTGCCTTTGATTCAATTCAACATATTGTTCATTTAAAATGTTCAGCAAATCATTCAGAACAGCTTTTATTTTCTACTTCATTATGAGCATAAATGTAATAAATAAAGGATAATGTGAAAAATAAAGTGTTTTTATTGATTTTTCAAATTCAATCAACAGATATCCTATTCAAAACATGTGGAAAAAAATAGTAGGCTCAAAATTTACATCACAAAAACCGATCAAAAACACAAACTACTGACAAGACAGAGGCTACTACTACCAGACACACCACCACAGTTCCAGACACTCTTAGGCTGAAACCAAATACATAATTGACAATAATAACCACAATGATAATAATTCTGAGAAGAAAAAAAAATCTTGTGAAATGAAGTGTGTGTGCCACCTTAAACTGTGCTAATCCATGTCTAACACATACAGATGAAGAATGTATTAGTTCTATTACCCACCTCCATTTATAATCCAATATGTCAAACTCTAATTCTTCCTCCTATTCTTTTTTTTTTTTCTGTAGTCCAGGGATGGGGAAGCCCCCCTCTGGATATTTACATAAAGCCTAGACACCGTCCCTTTAATAGTTGGGTTTATATCCAATAGCCCATCTATCCACCCACTCTGCGGTGAATCATGTGATAAGGAGAATGTCTTTTTTTTAAAAGTCTTGAATCTGAAAGTATCTGAAGAAGTCAGTTTTTAAGGGTAATTCCTTCTCCAGATGAGCAGACATAGTTACACCATATTCAATGGGGATAAATATAAATACTCGTTTGTCCCCCAATCAAAAACACTTTATTTTAAAACACTTAACAGTACAGTATTTTATATTGTTCATTCTTTAAAAACTCTTCACTATTATGTTATTTTCTAAACTCTTCTAAGGTCCACATTTGTGTGACCATGTTTAATCTTTTTGCTGCTGTAACACCATCATTTCCTCATTGTGGCACAATAAAGGATTTTCTATTCTATTCTATTCTATTCTATTCTATTCTATTCTATTGAAGGATGATAATCTAAAGATGCTGTAGCTCATCATTCTACAATATTGCTACTTTAAAGCTACAGTGTGTAATAATTACAGGGATATACAGTCAGAAATTTAATATATTATACATAACTATGTTATTTTTCATCATCTACGAGCTCAGCCTCTTAACCTTAATATTTGCGTTGCCTTAGAATTCTTTATTTATAATTACATAGGAGCGGGTCTCGCAGCCATGGAGGCAGACATCTTTGCGCTACGGCAGCGCAGAGCCAACAAA